AAACTGTTGAAAAGAATTGAGGCCTGAGTAGACCTTTTTGATAATAGAGCTCAGCATCATCATGCCAGAGATTACTTAGTGAGATTTTTATCATTAGGACAAAAATTAATAAAGGGGAACTGATATGATGAGGGAATAGGCAATCAGTATTAACAGGTTTATTTATAAAACTAGGATTTGCCGTTATTACTTGACGATTGATTGAGACAATAAAGATCACGGTTGACCAGTGATATCTTCAGAGATGTTGCTTGTAGGACATTGAATGTAAATTTGAATTGAATCAGAAAATTGACGAAATTTGGATATTAGGAGAAATTAAAAACTAGTGGAAGATCATTTACAAACATGGAAAAGAGTAAAGGTCCAAGAATATACCCTTGGGGTACACTAGCTGAAAGGGAAATAATAGAACGTTAACTCTCTGAGTTCAGTGAGACACATAGGAAATCTTACTAGTAACTCGTTACAAAAACTGAAAAGTTGCATCAGTTTAGAAATAAACAAAAAAATGAAGTAGAACAATTGTCTTCAATGCTGAGGAGAATTTAATTTGAGAAAGGGTTGGACGAATCTTTCATTTTTTTGTTTTGTTCTGTCCACATGCCACAAAGATGCCCCTTCCCCACCAATTTGCAGCACTTAATTGTAAACAATTCTGAGAAAGAAAACAAAGCTGTATGTCGAGTATACAGGCCTGTGAGCAAGAAACGCTCAATTCCATACATGGAATAAGATCAGTTAGTCAAAACTATGATGAAAAATAATGGATTCTATACTTTAATGATAGAATTTCTACGCTTATGAATCCTAACAATAAACGACAAACGTTTTAAGCAAATCTAAAACTCTTACAGTGAAATGCCGATTTCTTCCATCCTCAATGAGTGCAATGGTTCAGGCAAGTTGTTCGCTGATTATGGGAATTTTCGTAATCATTTTGTTTTGTACAATTTCAATTTCAAATATCAGTACAATAGTGAATAAATGCATTTTTAAAGGATTAATACCCCTCTCTGTTTTCATTATGAGGATTGTGACTCAAATTGGGAATTAAGCAGTTTCATCTCACCGATGACAAAAAATTCTTTCTATCTAATTATAATTATTAAATCATTTTTAAAGCAGTAAAACAAAAAATATGGCCAAAATATTGTCAAGTTAGAAAGTAAATCAAAATTTCCAAGTGCGCCACTTTTTATTTGTGGAGCAGTGTATATAGACTTTGATTCTCCCAAGGATCACATTTTGGACCATTCTATTTGCTTTTTTTATATGCGGGTTCGCAACAGCAGAGGTATTATTGACTCCTGGGTTGCCAATGTTTTTTAACAAAAATGTATATTATCAATAAACTACATCATAAGCTCTTTTGAAGAATTCAATTTCTAGTTATTTGTAGATGACCTTAAAGGTATATAAAACTATCTCATGTACTGAGGATACTCAACGAGTACATTAAAAGTTGTAAAAGTTTTAGTTTTGGGTTAAATGAATCTGTTACATCTTGAAATACACAAAAGTAAAAAAAAAATCCTCATTCTACTAACTGTTGTATGTCATGGACGAGGGGTAAAACCATTTCTTTCATACTATTCACTCAATAAAATCTACGGGCTTTGCTGGGATTCGAACCCCGGACTGCTAGCTTGGATAATACTTGGACCACTTAGCCACCGCGTTCTCAACATATCCTAACGAAAGTCTGTCACTTTCCACATACCACTTCACCATAGTTCAATATAATATCGGAAACCATTCATAAGAATAGAGATTAATTTTTGCCCCCTCACTAAAAATTCTCTTGGCATCTCAATATGATCGCTCTATTAGAAATATCGTCTTCCTTATTAGAAATTTCAAATATTTATGTTGTGTTAAAAATTGTTTATGTTAGGCCTGACTTGTAATATTTGTGTTTCATCAGGTTACCACATCTATAAACAGCATCGAAAATATTCAAAATAAATTTCTTAAAAACATCCGTTATAAATTTGGCAACAAATCACATATTTTCAGTAATGAAAGACTTAATTGTATTGTTCCTTCAATTTAGAAGAAAAACCAATAAGGTGGCTAAGGCTAGGATGTCCTAACCTCTGGACTTAACCACCGCGATCCACCCCCTTAACACTAAAAATGCAATAAAAACACGATTAAAAAGAAAGAGGCAGTGACAGTGGGCTGGATCAGCAAAGAAGCTTTTGCGTATCAAGTGCACCGTCGATAGGTGACCCTCAGAGGATCTGACCTGTACAAACATGTGATCATCCACACCCGATTAAAAATAGGCCACGTGAGTTTGATACACAGAAGCTTGCTTAGTTTTGGGCCAAACATGTGTCCAACATGTAGAGAAAGGGTACTGGATGAGTCCTATGTTATTAAGGGGTTGCGATTTTTTGGCTCTATGTAGAAATTGTGATATGGTATGTGTAGAGATTAGTGACTGTTAATCGATAGTTATTCAGATATCGTGAGATGCGGTTCATTTCGACTCGCCTGACCACATCTCACGATATCTGAATAACTGTGATATGATAATTGTGCTTAAGTACGGTAGCAAGTCCCTTTGTTCCGATTCTTGAAGAAAGCAGGGTTGTTTTATTGTATTTAGTAGAGATAGTTTTGTGTCCCTAGAATGTGTTGAGAGTGAATGTATTTATTGGCGTGATTGTGTGAGGACGAACCAATGATGGTATGTAAATAAGTAAAAATGTATTTAAGAGTGAATGAATCTAGAAAATGACTGTGTTGAAGGCTGAAATGATCTAGCTGTTGTTAGCCCCTGGATCCCAACCTTGGTCGATAGACGCAAAACGGGGTGGAATTTGGGTCATCATTGAGGCCTATTGGTATTTGTAAATGACAAAAACTGAAATTGCCGGTGGACAGTGAGAAGTGTAGGTTCAACTCTGTGCATGCATGTATGTATAAATCAGTAACCAGTACTTAGATATTTTCTTTTACAAATTAATATAAAAAAAATAAATTTTCATGTTTCATTGGCTGCATCTAGAAACCTACTTGTTTCTTTTCTCTGTGATAATGTTTTGCTTCTTTCATTAGCTATTTTGTCTATCTTTTCTCAATCAAATTATGAGATTTCCTCTTGTTGTTTGTAGTGATGATCTGTAATTCGGTCCTTACTTATCATTTAGATCTGCCTATCATCTGTCTACTCTGATGGACAAATTAAACACACCACCCTTAAATTTTAATGTTTTTAGGTTTGTTTATTCATATTTTGCATAGTAAAAATACGTTTGGTAGGAAAAAGATTAATTCATAATTCTAAAATATTAATTATTGAGTAAAGAACAAAAAAATAGAAAATTTAAAAAAATTTCCCCCTTTAATACCTATTATTTCAACCTCTGGCACAAATCATGCTCACTAAATGCATTTATATTCCTTGGAAAAGATTTCTGGTAAAAATCATGAGGAATTCTTTCCCATATATCAAGAGCAGCAGTTTCCAACTCTTCAAAGGTGTTGGGATCTGGGTTTCGGACTCGTTGCTTAAGTTGGTCCCAAATTTGTTTGATTGGGTTCAAACCTGGATTTAGAGGTGGCCACACCTAACCTCATTCAGTTGTCTTCCATAATATGTGCTCTATGGAGCCTAGCATTATTCTGCATTAACAAGAATCTCTTACTGATGTGGGAGCAAATGGCACTACATGTTCTTCGATTTTGTCTTTTAAGTACCTCTATGAAGTTGAGATGATTTATTCCTCACACAACAACCAATTCACTGTGGGCATCCAAGGAAATTATGTAATTAGTTATTGTTTTATTATTAATTATTATTTCCCATTTTTCTTCTCAACCATCTTTGTCCAAGGAACTGCAACCCCAGAACATCAATGACTCGCTGTAGAATGCCATATGAGGAACTGGGCTGCATGGGGCTTAACTTTCTCCTGAGTGTCCGTGTGAAATTTTTCCCATTTGAAGACTTATGGCCCACACTCACGACAACTAAAGAGAATTCTTCCCCAGTCTTTCAATATCCAATTCACATGTTCCTGTGAGAATTGAATTGCCAATTTCTGAGCTGTGGTATAGAAGAGCACGAGATGGTTGCTGGCCCTCAAGTTATTTTCATTGAGCCTTCTTCTTACAGTCGTGGAGGAAATTGAAGCATTTTGGACTTGTCTTATCAGATTTTTTTTTCTCATTTCCTGTAATACTGGATCTTTTGTCTCTCTCATCTGTAGACCTAGTTTGACCCTGTCCTGGCCTTCTATTGTGAAGCCCTCTTTCTCTGGAGCACCGAACCATTCCTATTGTAGTGATTTACCCTCAGTCTCCTGGTGACTTGCAGGCTGGCTGTATATCCTTCCTCTAATAATGCCATGACACCATCATACTCACTCAAATGTCTGATTAGAGTGATTGAAAAAGGTTTAAGAATAACAATAAAATCTAATGAAATCAACAAAAGAAAAATATTAACTGAAAGCGAGCTTTAGGCCTAGAAGAATGGAAGGGCATAATGCTACTTTTTAAGCAAATGGGATTAATCGGTACAAAAGTAAATAAAAAATAAACAAAGCTTATCTACTGTTCATTATCACTTTGATAGCTCCAACCTTAATGGCTTTTTTTAGTGTTGTATTATTTTTAACCTATATAAAATAAGGCGAAATTTTTTTTAACATTTTCAAACTATTACTGTTTAAATTTTAATTTTTGACTTACCTGGCTTCAGTTGTGTACCTCATTTGGAAAATTGAGTAATTAACTGAGAATATAGGTATTGAAAATGAACGTTTACAAATTGATAATGTTTATTGGAAAACTTTCATTGTACCTCTGCCAACATGTCTGCTAAATTTATTAAATTTTTATGTGAAAGCTGAACATAGAATTTTTTTAAAATGAGGTATCTGGGTATTGTTCTCTTATCTTAAATAATCTTTATTAGATACTAGTCATGAATAGATATTTACAAGAAGTTGCTTTGCTACTAAGCATCCAAAGCTGCATATTGGCACAAACTATTAAATGAAGATATGGAACAATTCATTCAACACACAAAACTTACAATGACAGTGCTTTTTTTAATATCACTACTAATTATATAAAATTTGTATAACTATACAGTAACAATTAAAACTTAAAATTAAAGAGGGAATAGCAATAATAAATAAAACACAAAAAAATGTTGACTGGTCTCCAAGGAAATTCACACTTCAATTTTTATAAGCCGTTCTGACTGAATCTTTCTAAAATTTTGATTTTTAAGCAGCTTCCAAAGAATCGAACCGCACAAAATAAAATTTGACTTCTCTGGCTCAAACAATAAAATTTACAAAGACATAGGTTATTTCTAATAAATAACTCTCTCATTCACAGCCCTCTTTCCCGACTCTTTGTTTATTGATTTACTCTCAAAAATAAAATTAAGCAAGAATATAAATGTAACAGCCAATCGGAAATTTTTTTGAATGATTTCACTAATTTACAAATATTAGGCGGTTTTTGTTTTAAGTTGTAAAAAAACTTATGGTTGTATTAACATGTAATCATTATCCCCATTCAAAAAAGGTGAGAGAGCTTTGTAATTTTGTTAAGCACTTTTAACATATAACATTCCTTCTGTACATATAATTTTTCATACATAAAATTACAGTTAGCATAAAAATTTCAAATGTCTTGCAATGAAATGATCCCAAACTTTAATCTTTTGTCAACTAACTGAATTCTAGAGAAATAAATATTGGATTTTTTTAAATGATAATAAAACCATGAGACCATTTCATTTTCAAGAGGCCCTTAAAATTATCAGTATTTACATAATCGACATATAATTTTTTTCTTTTTCATTTGAAATTTTGCATTGTTCAACCAGCTTGGCCGTGTTGTTTAACCCAAAATAAATTATATTTACAAACACAAATAAATAACCTAACAATATCCATTTCCAAATTGTCATGCCAAATAAAAAATAAACCAATAACTAAGTCCTTCGTTTAAAAGAGAAAAAAAATCATGAAAATATTTTTACAGCTAACAATAGTAAATCTGTAAACAAAAAGAATATAGGAAAGTATATTTCCCAGCTCAATAGATGCTGATTTTGGATTGATGGTGATCGCTTTAACTTTTAGGAAACTATTTATATTTGGAAATAATATTGTGCCAATATATAAATGGTGAGTAAAATATAACATTTATAAAACGTTTAACATCAAAAATTTGCTAGACACCAGTATACTTTTGAATATTTTTTAATTGCCCCTGGCTTTGTGTTTAAATATTATTTTCCTTATACAAATTACACATTAAAATTTTATTTTTAAAAGAGTAAACTATTATAAGATTAATGCCAATACCAAAAATTAATTTTGCGGACAATATTTTTCAGCCATATAAAAGTTACAATATAATTTATAGCAATACTTTGTATTTTTGCGTTATATTCATTTAAGATATTGCTGCTTGGTTTAATCAAACACAAACCAATTTGAGCAAGGTTGAAGAAATTTATTCTTTTTTTGATTATTTTGGCAGTGTATGTCACTGACAAGTCAGAGACGATGTATAGCCGTCTGAGCTCAGGTACTCATGGTAAAGCAGAGTATATACAGGCTTTCATTAAAATCCCTTTTAAAAGGTCGAATATTATCTATAAAACACATAAAATTGACATGGCAGTGACACCACAAAAGAGAATTTATTTGCACTTTTCAATTGTACTGTACGATATTATGCGAACATTTTGAACCATTTATATTATATAAAATCGTTTACACGACTATGGCATTCATGAAAATATTTAATTCTACACGATGAGAAATATAAATTTGTACCTTCACTAAAGCTATGTTGAAATGAGCATGAAAACATTCTACCTTTTGCTGGTTCTGTAATTTAACAAGTCGAAAAGCAAATATTGATGGGAAAAAAGTCAAACTATTTATTTTAACGTAACAACTGTCATTGTTGTTGAAATTAAATTTCTAAAGCACCGTTTTTTTTCTTTTTTGTTTTTTTTTGTTAAGAAACATAATCATTTCCGACTTGAGAAATATATTTGAGATCATATAAAATTATTGACAAAACAACAATGGAAATATATGCTTGTTAAACGGTTTATTCTACAATAGTCATTACATTGACAAATTACATTTAAATCCAGAAATAGGAAGTAGTAGAAAGAATAATGTACATATATACACTGACATTTTTACACAAATGGTGCTTATCTAATACTTAAGCACCAAAAAAGATTTGTACTTTTAACTTCATAAAAACTATAACAAGCCCTTATATATAATAAACTCATTTAAAGGTATAGTAAACTAAAAAAAAAAAAAATGACTGTAATATGTTTAGGAATTATGACAGGCACTACACATTCATAAATCATATTAAAATATAAATGATAAAAACCATTTCTTATCCAACAAATTGAACATTATTAACGCTAGCAATGGACCGAAACAAAAAATGTTCTTTTTTTTAAATTTTCCAATGCATTATCAAAGAATGCCAAAACTGTAAAAAAAATATGTATATAACTATACCTATATATAATAATGAACATTAACAACAAACACTATAAAAATGGCACAGTAACAATAATCTGCATAATTTATCATTTTAACAAAAAAAAAAGAACATTTCCAGCTCTTGGGTAGAGTTGAAAATAAACATTTAAAAAGTTCAGTCATTTCTAAACACAATTTGACAAGTACAAACATCTAAACCTTAACAATTCAAATTTACATTAAACAGTATGAATTTTTTTAAATGTGTTTTGTACTCTTTGCATTTTAGTCGTTACCTTCAAATTCAGCTCTACAGTCTAAAATAGGATACAGTTATGAAATGGTTTTGGCATTAAATTATAGATTAACGTGTAAAATTGTACACCAATCTTTTTTTTTGTTTTTAATTTATTAAATGGAACTGGTTTCTATTCATCATAAAACTACATATTTTTAAATGCATTATTTCTGTTTAGGTATGTAATGCATTGTTATGAGTGTTTATATGCGGTGACCCGCTTGCATATTTATATTTTCGAAATCACTGGGATAAATTTAATACTTGGTAATTGGGATCAAAATAAAAGACAGTACAAAACTGTCAATTTTACACAGTTAAAAATACTTAAAATACAAGTAAAGGGACTTGATGTCACTCAGACACGGGCTCTATTTTAATAGATGCCTGCGATGTTATGACGGAAACTGGGCTGCTTCGGACGACACTTATGACGGCTGTAGTCAGTGGGATAGACGTCTTCAAATCGTCGGGAGCCGGTGAACAGACTTTTAGCAGTTCTGGTGAATTTGCTTGTTCAGGGCTTGTTCGGGGAGGCGACGATGCATGAGGAGGGGACCCTTCAGCCCCACACCTGGGAGATTTTGGCGGTGGTGAAGGGCATGATTTTAAATCGTCTCCGGCAGGTGTTGAGCTCTCTTCTGGAAGAGATTTCTTCTCAGGTTCAGTTTCCATTTCTTCCTTCGCACTCATTAAATCCATAGACTCTTTGATCTGAAATCAAAACAGTAAATATTTGAGTCCGTGTTTTAAAACTTTTAGAAATTGAATTTAATCTACCTTTAAGATCTGCTGCCTAAGGGAAATATTGTCTTTCGTTAGCCTTCGATTCTCTGCCTCCATTGAATCCAAGCGTCCCGCTAGCCTTTCAACAAGGCTCACGACAAGTTCCCTTGTTGTCTCTTTGGCATCACTCAAGGCTGCGAAAACTGCTGCTACTTGCTCGACCGCACTCCCTGTTGAATAATTTATAATAATATAAAAACTCAAATTTGTTAAATAATACTTTTAATATGGGAATATTTACATACCAATATGCTCATGTTGTTCAGAGGCACTGTCATCGGTGTCAGTTGAAAGCTCGATTTCTGGATTGAAAAAATTCACACCACCGTTCCCTCGATCACGGGGGAATATTGGTGGTTTTTTCTCATCTGGATTTGCCGCTTCTGTTTTCACCTGTGTCCAAGAAAAATTGACGAAATTAACAACCCCTGTAAATTAAAATGTAATTTAAAAAAATAATTAATATACTCACCTCAGTCTTCCGTACGTCGTGATGAACCGATCGGGGTGCGAGTGCGACATTAGGCTGATAGCTTCTTTCAAACCTTTCTGAATCGGAAAGAGGCACGACTCGTTCAGGATGTAGTAGGACAGGTGGATCATGACTGAGGTAGGCAGGAACATTGCTAAAAAAATTAATTAATTAATACAATAAAATAAAAATAAAATACATTTGGATAAGTTACATTAATAAATTAATTGAAAATTGATTTTTGGACAATAATACACATATTCACATAAAAGTTTTAATTCAGCCATTTTTCACTAAAAGAAGTTTTTTATTTAAAAAATTTAAATTTTTAATTTATTTATGTTTAAAGTTGGTGATCCTAGACTACCATAAGGATTTTTTTTTCTATATATAATAGCGAATGTTCGTAAATCCTAACAACATAAACTATCGGGTTGTCCGGAAAATAATGCAGGATTTTAAGTTTTCATTAAAAAAAATCTATATAAAATATTCTGTTTACGTTTACAGGATNATGGGAAATTATTTTGATTAAAGAACATTGCTTTAAAGTAACTAGTTTCTTTTTTTTGTTTAATACCAAAATCCTGCATTATTTTCCGGACAACCCAATACTTAACCGATTTTGATAAAACTTTCACACATGCAGACCATAGGACAAAATCTCATGATCTTCTGGAGGTGATATCACAACCACAATAAACCAAGAGACAAGAAATAAAATTTTGGCCAATAAGAATTCATCGGTGTTCTTGGGATGGGCTTTAAAGGGCCACAAGTACCCTCTAAGTTTGATATTTTATTTCCTGAAGAATATTGTTAATTTTTACTTACTTAGGAACTGGACCATCTGGGTAAGCCTTTTCGTCCAGATGAGGTGGAAGTGGTGTGTGCCAGGGCCTGAAAGCAGAGCCCATGCTTCTCATGAAGGGGTCGTACCAGTAATTGTAGTGGAAGGCAGGGTCGTAATGCTGCAGGTATGCAGTAGGCGAAGCCACGTAGCCTTCGTCGAGTTTCAACTTTTTGGCCGCGACCACCTCCTCGTCTTTCCTTTCCCAGTCGATCCTTCCTCCCATCCTGTCGATGACCTGAAAAATAAAAATGGATTAGTTCGCGTTTTATTGTTAAAAAAAAAAAAATTGGACGTTCTCGACAACATAACGCACGGTTGATCAATTATGATTGGATGTTTTCTTGTTATAGCTTGAAAAAAAGACCTCTTAGAAAAGCAATAATCAGTGGTGGTGGAATAAACACACAGGGTGGTTCTCAGGTAACAAGGAACAACCTGCCCCAAAAAGGGTTCGTTTTTCCAGGAAGGAACGAGGGCTAATTAGCCAATTTCTTAGTTTAGAAGAAGAGGAAGAGAAGCGAAAAACAATGGAGGGAGAATCAATTAAAGACCCCCTGTGAGAGGGTGGGGCCACCCGTGGTCGGAAGACTATTATTGAACCAGGTCTATTTCACCTGCTGATTTGCCTCCGGCTCTGCTAACAATTCCATTCCTTTAAAGGAAAAAATAAACCGAATAAGTAGATATCTTGATTGATTGATCAATTGTTCTAAAGTGATTGACACTAATATAGAAGTGAGTGAGGAGGAATTTCAGAATTTGATAGAAAGGGATTGAGCGAATGGACTTATTAATTAATCCGTGAAAAAGTGATTGATGATTAATTAAGAAGTGAATATCAGACAAAAGTTGATGGAATGAACGTGAAAATTTGTAGATACAATATTGTGTACAATACTATCGAATTGTGTCAGTCGATCAGTGAGTGCAAGAGATGAATTGGTTGAATAAGTGATGTGTTGATTGATTCATGATTAATAACAGGTGAGTGATCAGATCGAACTGAATGATTATTTGAGTTAGATGTGTAGGTCAACAATTCGATGGGTAAATTAATCGACGATTTATTTGATGATTGGTCGAGAAGGGATCGATAGAAATGGGTGAGATTGAGTGATAGGGCGAGACAAGAGCTGATTCAGATAAAAAGTGATAGACAAAAGTCAGTCCAAAGCAGCAAGGAGGCAGACCAGAATGATCAGAAAGGACTGTTTTAATTTCTGCTTTAGGTCTGCTGGATGATGAATCAACATGGTAACCGTTTTGCTTCATCCATCTTAATTCGTTGGTTTGTGGTTTAAAAGGTTGACGAAAGAACCATTGTGAAAATTCGAAACGAATCTGACAGACAAAAGCAGTGAGGTGGTAGACTTTTGGTAGAATTTATCTGAAACGGCCAAGGTACTTGTGATACTCTTGAGGTCTGCTGGTTGATTTATTGGACAAAAACGAACAGACCTACCACTGAAGGCGTCTGATAGACCATCTAGAAACGACAAAGCTTAAGTCAGCAGACTGCAAGATGTTTTAGCAAATGTACTAACTGCATATTCATTAACATCGACACATTCGTTTCGATATATTTACAATATCGATGTTTTTCTTAGATTTTTTCGTTACATATGTGTCTAGGATAGATATTATTGTTTGAATATTCATTCATAATCGGCTATTTCTTGTTCGATACATTTAGTCGATGTTTTCGACATATTTACAATGTTTTCGATATCGATGTTTTTGTTCGGTTTTCAGTAACTTGTGTGTCAAGTAAGATATTTTTGTTTGAATATTCATTCATTATCCATTTTTTGTTCGGTACATTTTCATATCGATGTTTTTGTTCGGTTTGCTTTCAATGTGTGTTTCTTAATTGTTTCATAATTTGTTGAACTCGTGAGGAGCGGTCAAGAATGAGGTAGTTTAGAAAAACAACTTTATTTTTCTGTGGCGTTTCGGCCTTTATTTCATCGTCTTCAGGGCATAAAGTGTGGTGGTATTCTTGTGGTGTCATATTGGTTTTGTATGAAAGTGTTGTGACACAAAACCAATATGACAACCCAAGAATAGCACAACACTTTATGCCCTGAAGATGACTCGAATAAAGGTCGAAACGATGGTAAAAAATAAAAAGGCGTTTTTCTATACTGCCTCATTCTTTATCGCTCCTCACGACTTGAACAAATTTTGTTTGTAATATTGATTTAAAAAAAAGATATTCTCATTACATGACTCTTATCCATCTTATCAACATAATCAAGAATTTTTAGAATAATAATAATTTTTTATTTGAATATCCAGTCAAAGTCGAGGTTTTTCGATACAATTTCAACTCGTGTGTCAAATATCGATATTTTTATACTCTCTCCCTCTCTCTCTCTCTCTCTTTGACACTTGCTCCGGTGCTTTCAGACACTACACACACTGTCATTGGTCATATGTGTAAATTAAACTTTTCACTTTTTTTTTTATTTTCTTTCGATTTTTTTCAGAGGTCACATTGACCTCAACAACTTTTTGGGCTGTGCCGTTCTCTTAATTGGTCAAACGACCATAACAACTTAATATTAAAATACTCGGTATTTTCGTTAATTTGTTTTTCAGTAAACAGACCCTGATGATGGTGGAATAAACCGCCGAAAGCTCGGCACATTCCAAAAAGCTGTTTTGCTCCATATGACCTCCGAAGAAGATCCCATCACGGTCAGCTTGCTGAAGGTCGATAAACATCCAAAACAATTTTCCATTACTTAAGTTTGTGTGATGGTATCTTGTTCAGAGGTCATATGGAGGGAAACAACTTTTTGGGCTGTGCCGTGCTCTTAACGGGTCAAATGACCATAATAGTTTAATATTAAAATACTCGGTATTTTTCATTTGTTTTTCAATAAAAGAGTTTATTCCACCATACCGGGGGGTGAGGGTAGAATAAACTACCGAAAGCTCGGCACGGCCCAAAAAGCTGTTTTGGTCCATATGACCTCCGAAGAGGATCCAATCCCTAAAGTTGCTGCAGGTCGATAAACATCCAAAAGAATTTTCCATTATTTATTAATGGTGTAGTAATGGAGTAGGACAAAATGGGATCTTTTTAGCAACCTCAGGTCGGCCATATTAATTAGATGATGGTTGATTGATGCTATCCGTCCAATTTTCTACTTTACCTTTAAAATAATATTTAATGTGTGTGTGTGTGTGTGAGATCGGTGTGACATGGTTTACAAATGAGGAATATAATCTACTTTATTAAGGAATTAGGTAAGAATTCGAGGCTCGTAGGTAAAGACTCAGGCAGCCGGTTCAAAAGTGAAAAAGTTAAAATTTGTCATTGGCCAGACCCGGTTTCGGTCCTTTCCTCATTATAAAACGGCGACCCCAAAAGCGTAAAAATAGCCGGTCGAGAACGTTGAGGAGGTGAGGCGGTGGTGGAGGAGGTCGGGCGGCCGCTCGCGAAACTGCCAGGGAGCACGTGGAACGTTCGTAATCGATTGGGAGTGAATGTTTTGGTGGGTGTTGTCCACGGTGGGAGGCGAGGCCGGTAGAAGCCGGAGAAAAATGGGCCCCGACCGCCATAGGAATCGCCGTGGAGAGAAGGTCAGCCGGCTCTCCTTGCCCCCGGCGCCCCGCCCGCCAGTCTCATCTCATCTGCCCCACATCCACCATCATCATCACTCCTATTATATCTTTGTACTACTTTTCACATCTTGCACTACTTTATTAAAATTTACACAGAATTACGTTTCGACGGTTAACATTTATTAGATGAACACGGCCTCTATCGGATCGATAACCCTTTACCGACTATAATCATCCCCTGTTCCTCTCCCTCATCTTCCCAAAAGTATCATTATACCCGTTGACGATAACAGATATTTTCTATTTTACGTAGTTTCTTTCTAGTTGATATCTGGTGAGGGCGATGAGGATACTAGGAAGCGCGGTTTGTACTCCCCAGGCAGTGCAGCCTTCAGACTTATTGTACCTTCCCAGTTCCTAAGTTCAGTGCAATAGACTCTATTCTTCTCCTTAGAAGTAGCAGGTCATTGACTGTCGCTGCTACAATTTCATTTCCTAGTTTTTTTTCGTATGTTAGGTTGAATCTCCACTAAGCTGTTGCTTCGCATTCGAAGATGATATGGGTGGCTGTTTCCTCCTCCTCATTACATAAAATGCAGATGGGATCATCGTTGTGTATGCCCATGTTGTGTAGATGTTTTCTCAGATGCCAGTGATCGGTTAGTAGTCCTATCACTCCTCTGAGTTTAGCCCTCTCCAGTTTCAGCAGTGATTTTGACAGTCTTGGTGAGGGTTGTTTCATCATAAGTTTACTATGCCTAGCACCGCTAGAGATTATCCACTTCACCTTTTGTTTTCTTTGGATCTATTCTGCGATGGAGGATTCTATATTTGTTTTTGTTATCCCAAGTATAGGTTCGGGGGCCTATGTACGGTCTTGCGGATCCTCCTCTGGCCAGTCTGTCTACTTTCTCGTTACCCAAAATTCCTCTGTGTCTTAATGGCTGCTTGGCTATCAGATCCTATGAGGATTTTTTTATCAGTGCAACCTCTTTTAAGATTTTCCAGGGCACAAGCATTGATGGCATGTCTTTCTGCTTGAAAGACCGAAGTGCACTTTCCTAATGAGTTTGATTTCTCATGTTTTGGGCTTGTGCAGAAAATGCCCGATCCGGTTCCTCCGTTTGCCAATCTTGGTGAGGGTTGTTTTAACGTAAGCTTACTGTGTCTAACTCCCCTAGAATTTATCCACTTCTTCTTTTATTTGATTTAGATCCATTCTGTGATGGAGGACTCTGTATTTGTTTTTGTTATCTCAAGTATAGGTTATACGTTCTTGCAGATTATCCTCTGGCCAGTGTGTCTGCTTTTTAGCCTTGGAAATCAAATAAACAACTAGAAAACCCATTATCATATTACCAACTGTGCTTCATTCATATATGGTGATGATGGTAATGAAGATACTTGGAAGTGTGGTTGGTGCTCACCAGGTACTGCGGCCTTCTGGCTTATTGCACCTTCCTAGTTCCTTAGTTCAGTGCAATCCACTCAATCCTTCTTCTAAAAAGTATCAGGTCATTGACAGTTGCTGCTACAATTTCATCCCCTAGGTTTTTTCTATATGTTAGGTTGTGCCTCTATTCTCATTTGCTTCGCATTCGAAGATGAAATGGGTGGTTGTTTCTTCCTCCCACTAAATCTGCAAATAGGTTTATCGTTATA